AATTGATTGGTCAAGAAGCTCGCCAGTTATGGTAGACTTGTGGGCTATGTAGTTTGGTGCGAAGGTCTCCGCCAAGGCTTCGCCTAAACGAAAACGTCATACCCCACAATCCATCAGGAGTTGAAAGCAGTAGCATGCGCACGGGTAGAGGCGGAGCTGGTATATAAACACGAGCTCCCTCTTCTTGAGCGGCACACTGGACACTGTTGTGACGGCGGAACGCTGTCTCCGGGTTAACGATAACTCTGACAGCATCGAAACAGTTAATGGTAGTTAGCGACAGTTGCTCTGACAAACCCTTGGAGGAGTAACAAGTGTTTACTGTTCGGAAGTTTACTTTTACTTTGCGCGCGTTTGTTTACAAACGCAAACAATCTCAAAAGTTTCTTTATTGATTACGCGAGATTGTAGAATATTTTTGTTCAAATTAACGTCTTTTTAACGAACTTTAAAACTCAGTCACGGGAGCATGAATATCATCTAAAAATGTGCTAAAGTGGAGCCATAGGAGCGGAACACCAGGATGACTGAGCCAGAGGAGACGACCCATCACCTGAAAACTTCAGCCAGCCCTTCAGGTGGGAGCAGTGGAGACGCGTTGGAGCATCTCCCAGCAAGAAACCATGATGGACCACAAAACGGCGACAGGGGGCGACAGAGCGAGCATAAGCAGGAGCAGCGGGCGGAGAACTGCGAGGATATCAACACAGACAAGTTACGGCAAATGAAAGGCGGGCAGAGGGAGGTGTGTCCTGGGTTAGCAGCCGGAAACGAGGTCCAGAAGTGCCCGATTTCAACTCAGCCTCATCAGAAACGCAGCATCCAAGGAGCGACAGAAGACCACCACACCACACAGGGAAAAAACGGCCAAGACAGACGGCTGCAGGTACAAGTGGATAGTTTGCACATCGACTCTGATACGGGCTTAGATGCGCGTCTAGGCAAGAAAAGGCACAGGCGCAGGACCTCCAAGAAGAAGCGCCACTGGAAGCCGTATAACAAACTTTCCTGGGAGGAAAAGAAAGCCCTAGAAGAGAAGGAGACTGCCAGGGCTTCGCGCGTAAGAGAGGAAATGTTCGCCAAAGGGCTCCCTGTTGCCCCTTACAACACAACTCAGTTCCTGATGGACGAGCACGACCGAGAGGAACCCGACCTCAACACCCAGATGGGGGTCAGGCGGCCTTCTGGGGTCGGGGTTTGCATGGAGGACACTGGCAGCGAGGATGAGGTCTTGGAAAACGAGGACCAGGACTACGATGACGGCAGCGGCGGGGGCAGCGATGGCATCGGGAGGCCCGGGAACGCGGGTGGAGAGTTCCTCCAAAGAGACTTTTCCGAGACCTACGAGATGTATCACGTCGAGAGCCTGCAGAATATGACCAAGCAGGAGCTGGTCAAGGAATACCTGGAGCTGGAGAAGTGCATGTCCCGGTTGGAGGAGGAGAACAACCGGCTGAGACGCGCCGTGGAGCCCGGGGGTCAGAACTGCTCGGTTCGGGTCAAAGAGATGGAGAAGGAACTGGAGAGACTGAAAGCCCAAAACATGGAGCTGCTCCTGAAGAGCCAGCCCAGCAAGGACAGGGGCCAGGTCGCTACAAATTAAAATCCTTTGGATAAGGTAAAACATGGGACTACTGCATTTTTAAAAGAATTTATCATAAGTTTTTCTGTAAGCAGTTTGTCACCTGGACAAAATAAGTAAATATTTGACGTTTCCCTTTCTATTTGAGCTGTTAATGTCCCATTCGGTTATTGTTTTCAAGGAGAATTGTAAATATTTCAAATTTGATTTCTTTTTTTTTCTTTTTTTTCTTTTTTTATAAAGAGGTATTTGAAAAGAAATTTCCGTTTGTTCCTCTGCTCAACTTTGTAGGTATCCATTGACATAAACTGTTCTGTTTTTAATTTTAAGAGCAAATATTGTATGTCGGATTATTTTTCTCCCCCCTCCAGAAACTGAACAAGAAGAACTTGCAGCTAATTGGGCCATCCTTTCAGATACTTTTTTGCAAAAAAAAAAAAGAGACTTCAGCGTGAACATTTTAACAGTTGTGTGTTAACCTTTTAGTTCCAATAAAATAATATAAAAATTGAAGTTCTGAATCAGACTGCCATGTGTTGTTCAGCCTGTCCTCAAACACAGGAAGCTGCAGCTAGGAGCTGCTGTCAGTGGCTTTGGTCCGATTTCTTGCAAGGATTCCGATATGGGCCAGACACAAGGCATCAGTGGCCTCTGAATGGAAGACTACATGAGAAGGGGGGGATGGGATATGGATGAGATGCTCTTTATGAAAGCTTAGTCCACTCGGAGGTATACAGGAAGACATGCAAGTGGGATTTTATTGTTTATTTTACTGAATTTTCTAGGTTGTAATACAGACACACTGTGGTTATTACTTTTGCAAGTCAAGGATCTGCAGAAAATCGTGTCTTTATTCTGACTTGATAATGAATTTTCTCATCATTACAGCTACCAATCACATAATATATATTTACACCCCGCCCCCAGTTAAAATTAGTAACTTCACAAGTTTAGGCAGGCCTGATACAAAGAGACATGGCACCCAGAGATTTGTTTTGCAATCGATGGGATAATTATGTAGCAGGGTAGATAGTGGTAGAGGTGTAACTTAAATTTTTATTAAGTTAATTTAGAAATATCTTGCAAATAAATGCCTAAAGGGGGTTCCAAAATGTCTGGCGAGTGGTGAGACTTGTTCCTGAAGAGCCTGTGGACAGCCATGCAGACAAGGTTGGTTACTGATCATGTGAGAAGTGCTGCTCATTTGCAAAGCCTAAGAATGTGATGAAAAGTGTGTCTTTACTTTGGTGGGGTCATCCGTTTTAATAGAATCCCATTATTACAGCTACTACTCACAGAATCCATAAATATTTAAACATTCCCATAAATTAAAATAAAGACCCTCAACACTCCAGATTCCGTTTCCCTTTATGTCTTATAGCCTCTTCAAGCCTCTAGGGGGAGCCAGTCAGCTCCTATTTTAAGATGCCCGCGCTGCAAAATGTGAGGCACATCTCCACTGTAAAAAATGTGTTTTACCCACACACAAAAGTCACAAACGCAAACACTTTTTTTTTAAACATAGTTCTGTTTATTTACATCATATAACCTGCTTTTAAGCACACAGCCACGAGGGAAATGAGTTCAGGCGGACAACCATGTTTTTTATTTGTTTTTTTCTTTTAGTCCAGTCATTTTTCATATTAGTCATACTCGAAAGCAATTCCAAATGTACACAATACAATATGTTACATATTAAGATAGTATGTACAAAAAAAAGAAACGCTTTTAAAATACAACAACGACACAAAAGGTAAAATCACATTTCAGACTGTCGACGTTTCCCTTTGATGAGGTTTTTGTTCATCTTTAGGAAACTGGATGCTGTCTGGCATGACCTAATGCAGTTGTAGGGTGGGGGTGTGTTAGGTGTACCTTATTCACACACTGTGGATTATTAGGCATAGAGAGGTGACCTCAGTTTGTTAAAAAAACAAAAAACAAAAGAAGCAGCTGAGAGAATACTATGCTTTTCCCCTCCTCTGTTAAAGGCAAAGGGAGTGCATAGAAGTGTCCTTGGCTTGAAGTGTGCTTTACTTTACTTTTCTTTCTTTCTTTTATTTTGTTTTGTACAGCCTCTCTGTTAGACTGCTTGTATTTAATGTACACATCTTTGGGTCAGTGCCTCAATTATACCGTCAACCACAGCAGAGGAGGGGAGGAGACCCAGAAATAACAAAAGGAAATGGAAGGATAAGAACCGAGCATGGCACTGCAGAACAAAAACACATTCCAGAAATCAGGCACTTGTAGAAAAAACCTTGAGGTAAGACGAGACTAGAACCTATTTATTATTATCATTCTTCTTCTCTTTCACTGGGTTATTATTTGGTCGCAGGGAAACAAGCAAGCCTTTTGTGACTTCTGAATTTGCACCTCTCACTCGGGTCGTGTTTTTTTTCGCTACTGCAAATTGGTTCTGCGGTCAAGACGAGACAGAAACAACAGACTCTTGTTCTTCTTTTTTCATTTCCTCCAACGTACCATTTCCCCACTCAGGGAAGATTTATTAGAACCTGACCTTGTGTGCTGAAAACACCAAAAAAAAAAAAAAAATCCTACACCAGTCTGTTACACACTGTCAGGCATCTTCTTTTGAGCTCCTGTGTTCAGTGAATATGAGCTGATCTGTTGAGGCAATGCTCAGTAATGCCAGACTTGAAGCCCTGGCGGCATGATCAGCTGTCTGCAAACTGTCCGATATCACATAATAATTACCTGATTAAAATTCAGAACTTGCTACATGTTGTTACTACAGAGTGTTGTGTACATTTTGTGTAACTAGCCACGAGATAATCTTTATTATAAGACTTATCTCGTGAGATAAAGGTTTCCTGCACAGTGCTGTGAATCAGAAAGGCCATCTATGAGGAAATAAGGAATACGTTTAGTCGTGTTTATCTCGTCTCCTTTAAACAGGTACACCCAAGAGGTGAAATTGCAATAAATTTTACTTTAATACAAAATATATATATTTAATATATATATATATTGAATATAAAACAAAAACAAATAATATATTAAGGGAAACATTTCAAGTAACATCTTGAAAACAAAACCAAACAAAAAAACAACTGTGCACTTATTTGCACTTTTGTAAACCTTAAAAAAAAGACCTAAAAAAAAAAAGTACAAACAAATATTATAACATAATATTTATATTTACAGGGTTAACTTAACAAGGCTTTGTACAAATGTTACAAAAATCGTTTAACACAAACACCTGCACGTTTAGACATGGTCACAAATATTTTTGGGCAAACACACATAAACATTATTAACAAGTAGAGGGAGACAACTGCATTTCATGTGAGCTGAAGTTTGGTGGAGTTTTACAGTGTGAATGGTCAGAGGGGAAACGTTAGGAAGACTGATATGAAGAATCAGTTGTTTGCCCTCCTGAAATGGTTTTATATGATTTTTTTTTTTTTAATAACTGTAGAAGCTGCATTTCAGCATCCTCGTCTGGTCGATTAAACTTTTAATTTACGTCATCTGTGATCCAGACAGGAAGGAAGAGAAGACGAGGGATGCTCAGTTGTTACACGAATCAGAATTCTTGGCTCTTACGTCGACCGTGATGACGTCTGTTTGTGTCTCTGTCCTATCATTTCTATAAGAGCACACTTAAAGGAAAAAGAAAATGAAAGCTTTGGCAACACTGGAACGCACCCTGCCATGCAAATGGAGCTCAATGAAAAGTAAAAAAACAACAACAACAACAACAAATAAGGTGGGCCGTTTTTCACCTGTCCACCAACCACATCCCCGTTTGCACTGCTGCCAGTTTACTGACCTGCAGGCCGTCAGCAGCTCAGCTGGACATCCACTCCCCCATCCTTACGCACAAACTGAGAATCAGCAGCTTTGGCCTCTTTTCTTGGAGCGGTGGTTGGGGTCAGGGTTCAAAGGTACTGGTGGAAATTGGAGGTGGGTGCTTGACGTGTAGCCGGTCCTTGGTCAAGACCTTCTGCATCCCGAGGCAGCCCTTGTGTTTTGACCTGGTTTTGATTGTTAGGAGATAAGGGGAAATCGCTGACAATCAGCTGGGGTCTCTTATCGGACATCTCAGTCGGGGAAGCCACCACAGTGTGTCTGCGCCAAGCCCGCTTCTTCCTGCGCGTCTCGGGTGACGGTGGTTTCCGCAGTCCGACGCGGTGCAGGTTGTCAGCTGAGCCTAGCAGTCGGGCGCGGACCTGATCGGCCAGCGACTTCCCGCCCGGGCCGGTCGGAGTGAAGGAAGCGGCCTCGCTGGGCAGCACTGCAGGCTTGGGTCGGGCTGGGCGCAGACTCTCCTGGCTGCTGCCTGAGGAAGTGTTGGTTCTGGAGGTATCCCTCTTTGCTGTGGGTGCACCTTCCGTTCCTGAGCCGGAGCCCTCGGATGGAGCCGTGCCCTCGGGAGACTCCATCAGGTCCAGGGAGCGAGTCTTGTTTTTCTCAGACTTCAGCTTCCTCCTGGCCAGAGTGTCGCACTGGATCAGCTTGTGGGAGTTAAAGGAAGGCCGCGAGTGCAGTCTGTGAGTGGTGGAGGAGGACGAGAAGGAGGAGGAAGAAGGTGTGGTGGAGCGGGCCCCTCCGTCGCTCCTCTCTGTGGAGTCTGGTCTCTGTGTGAGGGAAGTGGGTGGGGTGAGAATGTTACTGGTTGACAGAGCGGGGCTTTTGTAGTGTGTGTAGAGAAAGCTTCGCGGCGGCGCCAGCAGCTGCGTGTTTACAGGTGGCGCCGGGTGTTTATCGGGTCTCTCCTGTGTAAGAGAGCGCGAGGCGAAGCCGCTCTCATTATCTGTCTCGCTCACCAGCTCGCTGTGTTCATCATCAGCATCGTCCCCCCTCCCCTCAGATCCCAAGCTCCTCCCTAAAGTAGAGAGGGTGGAGTAACCTGAAACTATAGAGCGAGCATCCTCTGGAGCTCGCCACTGAGGCCCCTTCACCTCCGCCTGCACCTCCTCCTCCTCGTTTAACATGGCTGCCTGCCTTCCTCCCGCCTCCTCTTCCACTTTACAGGACAACCGATTGGGTTTAACGGCCGGCTCCTCTTGTCGCTCCTCTTTCACTCCGCTCTCTACAACTTCCTCATCCTCCTCCTCCTCGTCCTCTTCTTCCTCTTCGTCGTCATCCTCCTCTCCCTCTGCTCGAGGAGCAGTGTCTCCTACTGGCGACTCCACCTCCTCTTCCTCTCCTGCCCCTAAATGTCCAGCTTTGATCGGCTCATGCTCAGAGTCGTCGTCGGTGCTGCTGCCCACGCGGCGGGCGTTATGGCGCTTCCTGCGTTTGCGGCCAGTAACCGCTGACATGATGGACAGAGCCAGGAATTCCTTGGCTGTGAGGTCCTTCTTTGACCCCCATGACCCCTGAAAAAGCAGGAAATATTACTGCTGAATCTGTGCGTGCAGGAGGTTGGACAATCAGGCTTGCTTCATGTGAGGGGAGGTTACCTTTGATTTCGCTGAATCACTGTTGGTTGAATCTGGGGAAAAGGAAATGGAGACATTTGTGGGTCAGAACGGTCGAAGTAAACAAAAGGCCAGAACAGTCATGGTGGAGGACACAGAGGGAGTTGCTGTGATCATCACTTATTTTTTTAAAAGGAAAAAAACAACAATAAATAAAATAACTGCTCCTGCACTGCTCCCTGTATGTTCCTACAGACTTTAATGCTGATTTTGCTATGAAGCAGGTTGTTTTCCATCAGGTGCAAAGTGGACAACACCGCCTGGGACATTGCGTCTTAACGTGTGGCTAATTTTTGGATAAAATTGTGTTTATTCTCAGAAAACTGCAAAAAGTTTAATCAGTTGCAGGCAGTGGTTCATTCTGTGCTGTTTTTATGGTGATGGATGCTTCAGGGACTCAGATTAACCTCCTAATGCCGAGGTCATGGCAACCTGTCTGGGGTTAGGGTTAGTTTTGTTTGGTCACATAACAAATAGGAAACCATTTTCATAAACAAGAAGATGTTAGATTTCCTATAAGGTCTAATACATTTTGACAGCATTAGATTCTATTTTCTTGTAGAGGAACATTTTGTTAAAAGAGTGCAAGTTAACTAAGCCCCTATAAAGGGGTCGACAATGACCTGGCAGATGCAGATTGAACAGTTTTGATTGGATTCAATTTATGCATATGATGTTCTGCTCCTTAACCTTAAATGAAAAAAAAAAAAAATCACAATTGCGTCTCTATACAACGGTTTATTCTGCAGTGAGCAGTGCAGCTGCAGTTGTATCTCCAATTCCTGTGATGGATTTTTAAAGGAACTTGTTTTCCTCTGTGGCCTCAGACCATAACAAGGACAAAAACACTGAATCACACACTGGAGTTGTGTTCAGGGAAAACAATGATTGGTGGGGGAAGCAGGGTTTGGTGTTGGAGGAGAAACCTCATTAGAAAAATCACGGCACACACTGATGACATCACGAAAAACACGGATGGCATCGGTCAGTGAAAGAAGCAGTACGAAAAGAAACGCAATCCTCACAAATGAATGCAGGAATGAAGCCCTGGATTTGTCTTTCATGTATCGTAGTAAAGGGAACACCCAAATCTCTTGAGAAACCGGGGAGGGTTGGTAAGGTTTTCTGGATGGAGCTGTTTCTCAGGGACTCAGCAGTAATGACCACGTCAGTGTATTTTCTGCTCAGCCTAGAGAAGTTCTCTTGTTTACCAGAAAGCTAGTGATGACATTCAAAATGTAACACAGCCTTTCTTACCGCATTACTAACGCATTACTAACGCATTACTAACGCATTACTAACGCATTATGCCAGCCCAAACTGGCTTTAGCATATAAAGAAACTACTGTCACTATTTACAATTAGAGAGCAAAGTAAGAAATGAACCGACTGCGCCTGGATTTTGAAAACAACTTTTGTAAATCACCCATAAAACCAACAACACCTGAGTTCTATTATTGAAAATCTGGCCTCTTAAGTTAACTATGGCGACAGCTATGAGCGGACTTTATAGACAGAAACAATTAAATATTAACAGACGACCCTTTTGAATCGTTTTCATCTGAACTTTTCTAATGTGAGGATCGCAGGATTTCTGTTGTTTCTTCTTGAACATTTTTTTTGTTTTCGTCTGTATAATTCTGTTGATTAGTGTAGATTTGGTATACGTTATTAGATATTACACATGTTAAATATGAATTTGATGGGTAGGATACTTGAGTATTCTCTCCATACCATCACTGGTGATGATCCCAGTCCGACCTTTGAACCCTAACCCTATGTTTGGAGACAAGCAAAAAGTACTTTTTGGAAAAAATTGGGATTTTTCTTTGGCCTTGACTGAAAAGACATTCTAGTAGCACAGGGTTAAAGTGAAAGCTAGGATCATCACTGATGATAACTTAGATCTCAGGGGTAAGGCAAAGTGAAGCTCAAGTGCAGCCCTGGCAGATTAACTGATCTCAAGCCTACATCAGCTGATATATTTCTAGGCAAATCTCATATAAGGCGCATAATTTAAGACGCTTTGCAACCCATCTCCACCCCAGCTGTTCTTTTTGCAATGTGTTTGACTATATGAGTATCACATCCTTTGCAACTGAAGCCAGGTCTGCTGCTCTTCCTGCTTGTATGCAGGCTGGCTGTTAGGAAACCTCAGAACAGACTATAGTAGTCCTGACTCAAATACAGTTATATGTTGCTCTACATAGCAACTTTACAGTTTGACAAGCAAGTACGGAACAAACTGTGAATGTAATTTTCCTTATAACCTTATTTTGCATATATTCTTTTTAAAAGATAATAATATGAGATGCTTCGCTTGTTACCATATATACCAGTGCCACATTAGACATTCCTAGTTCACACTGTGCCGATAATACATGAGAGGACACGTCCCTGTGAGTCCACCCCAAGCTAAACAGACTTCCTGTTACGTCTGCACTCACTTTGGCTACAAGGAGGGAGCTTCCAGCTGCCATCTTGAAGCTTTTACACAAAATATTTTCTTTTGAAGGGATAATGAAACAATGAAACAGCACCATGCAGAGTCCCTTTACAGGCAGAAGTGATGTTAGGATTTTTACGATGGGGCCACACAGACCGAAATTGCCTGTAGGATGAGTGCAGCGCAGTGCTCGGCAAGGCACAGGCCACCAGTGAAGGAGTTGTCTCTCAGTGACAGAGCACAGTTTACACTCCGGTGTCAGATAAAGCAGCTTTAACACTCAGAGAGCATCCAGTCATCCATTAATTCATTAGTCAGACTGGGGCTGACATTGAAGTGACATGTTTTTACAGAGACTTCAGTCTGACGCTGAGAGGGAGACGCTGACTTTCAGGAGGGTAATGGAGACCATGGAGACACAAACCATCACCACCGCTAACACACACACACACACACACTCTCTCACACCCATTATTATTACTTTCACAGTATGGTGCACTGATTTGGTTGCACACACACTCACACACACACACACAAACAGTGCCATCCTACCGCAGTGGCTGCTCCACAGGCTCAGCTGAGAGAAGGAAATGCAGAAATGTACAGAGAAAGTGAAAGGTGAGCAACATGGAGGGGAAAAAAGAGGTCAGCAGAAAGAAGAGAAGTAAAGGCACACTATCAAACACAGAAACACTCAAACTGCTAACGGATGTTCATTCCTTGAGCTGCTTTCCAGTTCTGTTGGAAAGTAGGGAAATCATACTTTAAACTGGGACAAGCTTCCAAGGAGAATTCTGAATCAGGCCAGGAATTCTATCAACTGCCTTTAAGCAAACACAATCTGTTAGTCCTAGAAATATATTCCTTCAGATTAATTGTAAAAACCTCTCAGTGGAACTTCGGTGATCATTGGTTTCTTTTAATATTTATAAATGTATTACTGTTGTCTTGTTTTAGACAAACCTGGCCGCACAACATTCAACACGCAAGTGAGGAATTACCTACTTCCAGCTTTAAATGAAAAGCAGCAGCATTCGTTTCGCGTTTACTAATTCTAACTCAGTGCTACTGGTGCGGCTCGTCACAGAAAGGCGGAGCTGTAAACAGCGTGCTCACCCGAGGCTTCGCCGAGCAGAGCGGTCCTGCCGATGTTGGAGAGCAGGTGGTCGATGTTGGGGGCGGGCTGCACGTCCTCCGTGTCCACTGGTGTCTGCAGGGACGGGGTAGATTTACTTTAAAAACTCGGAGCATTGCATCCATAAACTGTTAAGTATCCGCCGTAGTTTTAGGGGCCTTTTATGTCTTTATTATGGGCAGTACATGACAGCAAATGAAGAACAGAGTGAGACAGACTCAAATTGGGGACGTGGCTAGCATCTCAATCCCTAGGCCAAGAGCTCAAATGCAGCTATCATTAATTCAGCTCCATTTCTGGAGATCAAGTGTAGCGGCTGCTGCATACTTATGAGACAATTATCATTAGGGAAATATTAGTTATTGAAACTGGAAGAAGATTCCTAGAAAGGTCAATAAGCCTTGAATGATTTGCTTTTGAATGCATGTCTCAACAATTTCCAATTTCACAAAGATTAAAAATTAAATGTCGCCACCAAACAGCAGAGTGACTTGTTGGGTTTGTCAGAGAGCTCCATTACATCATGAAAAAATATGAAATGACCAAATAAAAAGAAATAATGAATGATGACTCTTCACTCAACCAGTCATTTTTCTTAAAATGTTGGATACAATGTTTCAAATTCCCGCAATAGTGGATTTTCTTTTTTTCCTGTCATTTTCTGGAGCAATAGAGATTCTTTCGCAGAGCTGCTTTGCAGTTATTTGCAGTGACGTTTGCAACTTTGTGCCAAACATTCTGCACTTTTTTTTTGTCAGTTGCAGCATCTATCATTGCCTTTGAAAGCATACCTTCTCATCCTTGTCTAGCTCGTCAGTGAAAAACCAGGTGCACTGCAAGAAAGCCGGAGAAAGAAATACTGAGCATGACTTGGATACTATTAAGGATGTAAGTGATTTATACTGTTTGTGCGCGTTTGCATCTCTCACGTGTTGTATGAGCGTTTCTACGATCTTGTAGCGGTCGGGCATGTGAGTGACCATGTCTTTCATGTTGTCCTCAGACGTCCGAACCAGCGTCGGCCCAAACACGAGAGCCAAGTTACGAGGCTCCATCTAGAGACGCCAGGAACATATTGATGGCATTAATACCAAATACTTAACAGTGATACATTTCGTCCGCATTTACAAATTCCCTTTATCCCACCTTGTTTTTATCCGAGTTGTCGGCTACAGTCTTCAGGTGACCAACCAGGAACTTGAGAGTGTGGTAATAATGATCTGGGAGGTCGCGGATCTGTACAAATGAAAGGAAAACAGAGTGAAACGTCAAAACCGTAAACCTGTTTAACCTGCCCGACTTCTGCGCGCACTTAACCCAAGCGGGTAAACACGTACCAACTTCTTCATGGTCTTCAGTCTGTCGGATGCATTTTCCATCCGATTGGCATCGATGAAGTCGTTGTACTTGTCTGTTACGATATGAGAAGATATAAAAAGTTAGATGAAGCTGTGTGATTAGGCTGCATAGCGATGTTTTGCGATGGCATGTTGGAAGCTGTTGGTCTCACCGTTGGTGAAGAGTGGCTCTGGGAGTTTCCTGAAGAAGGATTTGAGTAAGCTACTGACGACATTGAGGTCCTGCCACTTCTGCAGACGACAGAGCACACAGAGACGACTCAGATATCGTTACCAATCACTTTTTGTACTAAAAGTGCCAGTTAATTGTTTCTTTTTTTCCTCTCTTTGAGGATCGACAGTATTCTTGCCTTCTATGATCATGTAAAAAAAAAAAAAAGCAGATCCCAATGATTCAGCAGGCTTGTAGAAACACATTCAGGAGCAATAACTTTAAGTTATGGTTTTCTGCATGACTTTAGAAGCCTCTCACATTGTTATCGAGGAATTTCCTGGAATCTTTTCAAACAATCTTTGGAAAGACTCTTGAAGGTTTTCCATTTCTACCTCTTGGACAATAACAGACTTCAAATTGTTTGGAAACGAGGCGCTCAAACTTGCTAATGATCAGTTTATCAAGTGCATTCAATTAGCAGCACCTGGCACCTGTGAAGCAATAAGTGTGTACTTACTGCTTCTGGATTTTGGCTTATTTTTTGCTAAATAAATTACAGCACTGAGGTTCATCTGAGGTTGCGTTTACAGGCTATTTTAAGACCTACGAAGCACCAGATGATTTTTTTATGTGCTGATATGTAAAATCTCAGAAATGAGATATTGCTAAGGATTGTTGTTATTGCTAAGGATTGTCTATTGCATTGGAGTCACACTGGGTTAAATATGTACACTTGGGTTTTAAGGGGTATTTATTATTTTCTTCTTTTTTTGGGTTGTATGGAAGCCCCAAACGCATTGTTCTTGACAATGACAATAAATAAATACTACTACGAAAGAGGCTGCACTTTTTTTTTTTTTTACACGACTGAATGTATATTTATATTTCTGCACCTCCTCTGCAGGGTTGATGTCCACGCCCTTGTTGAGCTGCTCCTGGAGCAGCAACACCATGGCGTTATTCCCTGGGACTCGGTAAATGCCGGTGTATTCCAGACCCATCTCCTCCACGAGGCCACAGCAGATCTCCACAATCATTGGAACGAACTGCAGAAGGAGACACGGAAACGTGTGATCACAGAAAATAAGGAAAAGGAAAACAGTTTTACCGCATTCAGGTGGTGACAGAGGTCAGTGTGGCTAACCTTGTTATTTGTACCAGGTTGACATTCCTCCAGCCTCACACCGAAAGCTTTGGGCCCAGCTTTCTTTGCTTTCTTCATGATGTTAATTCCCCATGGAGACTTGGGAGGGCTGCTCTCATCTGTAGGCAGGTTGAACAGAAACTTAGCAACTTCCATGTTTGACTAAACACCTTCTTATCCAAACGCTGTCACCCATTAAAACAAAAATTAAAAAGGATTTGAAAACCAGCAGACTGCTTTAATAGAATGGGATTAAAAAAAATCTCTAAACATTTGAAAAGGTTAGTACTTACTTTGGGCAAGAGTTGCACTTTTTAGGTCAGTCTTATGTATAGTTGCTTTGTGTTAGCATGGTATAATTAAATATTGAAATAATATGGACAAAAAAGAGAAGAAACAACAAAGCAGTTGACTAAAGGTGCCTCCACAACAAGAGTGAATATGACAACTAAATGATGAGCTATTCACAACTTTGACGAGTTCCAAATACACTCATAATTGGTCCAATTAATTCTTTATAGTTTTGATTCCAAGATTAGTTTGAAGACAAAGTCAGTAACAAAGTTAGAGCCCAGGATTCAGCAAATGCCGAATGCCAGCGTGGATGGCTTCGAGTCTCCCCGACACTGACCTTTGCCTTCTGGTTTGGGCGAGCGTGGCGCTCCAGCAGCGTTCTCCGTCTTATTGAGCAGGAAGGGAGGCTTCATACGGGACAACTTGGGAGAGGAGTCTGGCTTGTTGACAGTTGGACTGTAGGGGGAGACAGAGAGACAGTGTAGGTATTACTGTTGTGGTTCATTTAAATTTAGCTGTATCTGCTCGTCCGGTGGCAAAAATCCAGGACAGGTTAGAGTAAATTTAACTTCAATTTAAGTTAACCTGCATTTTTCTGGTGTGTGGGAGGGGAATATCCAGGCAGGATGAGGAGAAAGGACAGCAATATTCATGATCGGGTGACTCACCTTTGTTTTCTGTAGTCATTAAGCTTCTTATTAATGAGGGCCTGCCTGGAAAAGCCGAGCTCCTGCGAGACATAAACAGGCCTGCATTATGAGTCTGAGGTTTTCACTGAGAACATATTAAATGCATACAGTTATTGAAAATCTGCCCGGTAAAAGTGTGTTCTCTGACCTCGTTGTCTATCTTGCTGTTCTCCCCGATGACCTTTATCCAATTCAGCATGTCCTCCCGGTCCTCTGCTTGCAGCAAGTACTCACAGAAGTCCTGGGTGGTCAGCCGGAGGGCGTGCTTTCGTTTGGTCTCGCTGTACGCGATGTCCACCAGGCAGCCCTGGATGCTGATCGGCTGCTCATCCTCGGCCGAACCTCCAATTGTGGCTCCGCGAAGCACCGCCTCCCGCTTATCCTTGTAGAGGAACAGCGATTGGGAGCGAAGAACCGAAAAGACACGCTTCCACGGACGCATGGCGCTGCCTACCTTCTGTGAAGGAAAGAGGAGATGTGATGCGACTCCTTTGCTATGCTTTCCAGATTTCTCTTGTAATCAAGCTCGATTTGCCCACCTTGCCCTTCTCGGTGTGGATCTGCTTGTAGTGCAGCCATCCTTCTCGCCATACATCGCTGTAAGTGATGTTTCCCAGCTCCGAGGTGGAGTGACGTTTCGACCGAACCTCCTCCGCTGTCCCGATGTTGTCCAGAGACTGAAACACAATCGGAAAAGTTTTCAGGTAATTTGTTGACTTTCTGTTTTCAGTTAGTGTTTAGAGCGGATTTTCTCATTTCAAGTTAGTTTTTATTATCTGAAAATCTTTCGTTTTAGTTTCGATTCTATTGGTTTCAGTGTTAGTTTTAGTCTTTTTTTATTTTGGTTGTATAACATTTTTTAACAGAAACCAAAAGTAAGCATCTTACTTTTTCTTTTAAAGTTAGTTTTCAAAGTTCATAAAATGGTTTCAGCCAGTTTTCACCTTCTGTTTATTTTTTAACTCTCAAGCTTCTTTTATAATGTGCAAAAACACATCAATGCATATTATTTTGTGTTGCTAATTATTGGTTACATTTAAAATTGCTTTTAAAAATACCATGCAACAGTTTCAAAGAAAACTGTACTCTTCATGCTGACCTGGCAGAAGATTGCAGTAGTTTCCATACTGCAGAATTTTGCAACGGACGAACCACCAGTTCAACTATCAGCTATCGCACCTTTATGTGTCTTTGTATATGGCCAAATATTACCTGATAAAAGCTTTATTAAAACATAACACAATCCTTTCCTTGCACAAATAAAAAGCTGATTTAAAAAGCTGTAATAACAGAAGACACACTCATAGTGTTCCAGTGTAACCAGCTCACTGTAGCTGTAGTTAAATTATATTTAACGTTGGCAAACTTAAGCCACGTGTCCCAACACTTCATTTCAGACTTTATGACTCTTTTATGGCAGCGTGTCACAGAAAAAACACCTCACTGGTTTTAATGACAAAAGTTTAATATGATTTGTGTCTCTGTAGCTCGGCAGTGGCAGGAAGAAGTCATTTGAAACTCCTTCAAAACCTCAGCCTGAATTTGATAATGAGAATTTGAATGATTATAATAACTTGTTTTAGATTTTTCGTACAACAATCCATCCATTTTTTTGTATGACCGCATTTAAAAATATTAATGTTGGTTTGCCATAATTAATTCATTGCCTTAGTTAAATAAATACAAATGACTAGTTTAAATTCAATGTGGGTTGATAATGATTTAGTTGCATTTGTTTGCATTTTAGCTTCGTCTTTGAATTTTATGATAACATGCAAAGTATTTACAGATCGTGTCAGTTTATGTGCAGTAATAAAAAGTGAGGAACTCACCCCATCTGTGAAGAAGCTCTTCACTCTTTTTGGAAGCCTCCTACTTGAATATAACATCACAACAAAGAGTCGTTAATATTAATAATGTGAAATATAATTTCTATCAGGTGTCTGGGATCTGCAGTACTTACAAGGATCGTCCGTCCTCTCTGAACGTGTTGAGTCCTTCGTCACATGACTTGGAGCGCTCGCTGGAGATGGCTAGAACATAGGAGGAACGGCGACTGGATTTAATACTGCCTGCTCAGTGAGGGATGAATGAATGAATGGAGAGAACGAGAGAGAGAGAAGAGAGCAGAAAGAAAGAGAAAGAGGGAAAAAAAACAGAAAGAATGTTGATGTAATGCCAATCACCAGAGTGGTGGATGGTGTTGGATTAGGAGATTGGGGCAGTGAGGGAGGAAGCGGGAGGTGGTGGAGGTGGAGGAGGGGGGTTTAACAGGGCGAGTGAATCAGCGACTTGGTGGAGATGGTGAGTAGGGACATGAGCTAGAGGAGCGGGGGTTAGACTGGTTTCCTTGGACTGTTTGCTCACCTCTGGCATACAGGTGTACACGCCCATATTCATTTTTTTGTGCAGTTTTTTCACAATCATGCAAGTCTTGGTTTGTGCACCACCAATATGGGCTAAATTAATTTGAAAATACACAGATTGGGCTTCATGCACGCTTGGAATTGTGACCAAAAAATGATCTAAACCAATGTGTTCAAGTCCAATCTACAAATTCAACATGCAAACTGCTGAAACTTCATCTTGTCAAGCTATTTTGGTTTTTAAGGCATTCAAGTGAGATTTTAAAGTTCACTTCTCATAAAAACAAACTTTTTTTCAGCTCTATAAAATAAAACGTAAATTTCCACAACTTAAGTGCATCCTTAAGTTCAAGATTTCAGCTTTCGTGTTAAGAAAATAAGGCAGTTAAAACACAATAAGGAGACAAAATGCTTCATAAGATGGAGATTACAGCAGTTATAAAATTGTATACTCTCTTCAAATCTCATGCTTTATAAATCCACATTGGAAATAAAAGGAGAATCTTAATTTTTGGCTGCATGCAGTGGCGAGGAAGGGAGGGAGGAGGGGGCACTCACTGCAGTCGTGTGAGAAGAGCCTAGTGAGGGGGAAGGTGAAGGTGGGGGATGCGGGGCTGTTGACCACGGCGGGCGTTGAACTCATGCCGCTGGAGACAACGGAGGACGCCGGCACGTGCCGGGCGCGCAAATCGGCGCCGGGGCTGGTTGGCTCGTCTGTGGGCGGGTGGAGGGAAGGAAGGAAAGGGTGAAAGAGAAGGAGAAGGGTTAGGTGTTAGCAAAAAGGGCGAGAAGGTAAGAAAAAAAATGGGTTGGGTTAGGAGAAGGTAAGGAGAGGAGAGGTTTTAAGGTAGAGGAATGATGAGGAATTGGGGGATTACCATCAGAGAGACTTAAAAAAACGCTTTTCACAGTTTCTTTCACTTTAAATTTGACTATCACCTTAAAACATTTACCACAATACTTTAACATGATGCACTTCCAGATTCCCGTGAGAAGTACAAGAAAGTCAGAAACACATACATTTATATGGTCACTTAAGAACACACAGATGAAGCAGAAGTCACTAAAAGCTCCTGTCCTCTCTCAGGAAAGTAAGCATAGCTGCGAGCCAACTACAGTAAGAAAAAGTCCCACAGGAACATGGCTGAACAGGCAAAAATTTTACAGAAAATACAATACCTGCGTCTTCTGCTGCCATAGGAAGAACTGTTCAGTAGCTAACAGAGAGGAGGGGGTTTTGTTACAGGTTTACTGGCTCATGGTTTCAGTTCTTTGTGAAATCTACCCTAGCGCAGGCCTGATCTGATACATGCAAGAGAAACCGTTACTGTCCAAAAGGTAGAAAATAAATTATTGGGCATGAATGATCTTTTCTTTTTCTTTCCAACGTAAGAATTCTGGGGATTTTTTTATGCTGATAAAGAAACGTAGTTTTTAAGAAGACAAAGGCATAAAATGGTTAGGATCACACAGGCTACTAGTCATCAGCAGTTTCAGGTAAAGGGATATGAAACTAACGCACAGAAACATTCATACACAAACACGCTCACACTTCCTGACTGACAGCGAGGATTAGGGGCTGGTCTGATATTTGCACGCAGTGAGGAGAAGCTGGATTTGCCGTGATGTTTTAAACTCTCAGGACCGAAATGCGTCGAGGCTCTGGTTTGCTCTCGGAGGAAACAGCAGAGGGCAGCACAGCCTCACTCCGCCACACTTCAACTGACCACCACATGGTCATTTTAGAAAAACCCTGCACTGGTTTCATATTTAATTTTCCCTATTTTAATAACCATCTCTCTTCTTACAGTCCAGTCCTCTAACATCCTTCGTCTCTTCCCTTTCTTCATGCTCTTCTTCCCGCCCTCGCTTTTCTATTCTTCACTCCTGTGCATTTTAGAGGCCGACATAAGGCGGAAAACATTCCCAGTCTGGGATAAGGAATCTGCCTGTTTACAGCATGGCCCAGAAATAGCCGGGCTGTGGGTTTAACAAAGGCCGTCATTAACAGGCAGCCAGAGTGAGCTCAGAAACACGACACAGAGACAGACCAGCAGAGGGGAGCAGCATACTGAGGTACACTGTGCTGCTACTCTACAGTACATATAGTAAAGGAGGAATTCCTGACTCAGATTTGTCCTGGACGAATGGTGAAGATAGAAGAAATGCTTAAAGACTCATTCCTCTTTGGAATATTTACTTTATTAAGAGGGACCTATTGTGCTTGATTTCTAGTTTTTATCCTCTGCATGATATACAGTTCTAAATAATTCTTATTTATCTTTATTACATCTAAACTGGACCTCATTTCATGGACTCTGAACTATCTGAAACCAACCCTTTTAGCTCCTCTCCCTTTAGGGCAAAGATGCCAGCTTTCCTTTGACTGGCTGTCCCTCACAACTAGAAGGTTTCAACTCCATGTGGAGTTTCTTAGGGATATTCCTTCTCTCTGACATCATACAGAGCCAAGAGTTGAATATAAATAGTCTGAGGCCTGAGTTTTTGCAGCATGTTTTACTAGCTGTACTCCTGCTTACGAAATATCTCAAAGAATTAACTGACTATCAAACTAACCTGTATGTAGCAACTGTAATTCAATGTAAAGAAGTTTAGACCAAGAAAAATGAGAGAGAATGAGCTTTCAATACAAAGTAATTGAAAGCAGGTGCCTGTAAGAGAACACAGAGGGCCAGTACACAGGCCAGTACACGAAGTCCATCATGTCCAGGGTCCAGCTAGTAAAGACAGTCATAGAATGAACCCCCACATAAAACCCTTCATCTAGTAGAGCAGTACAATAGCTGCATTGAAGGCGGGAGCCCCCACTGTTCCCCACAAGGACCATGACAAAAACCTCCTGGCAATTTACAGCTTACAAAGACTCCAAGTGGGCGCACAATAAAATCCTGCAGCAGCATTCGATATAATTTGTCGTTTCATTTTGTAGGAGCTACCAGAAACACTTCATTGAATTTAGGAAAAATTCAATATGGTGTACGAGATTTGATAAAAACATACAGTATCTGCATTCAGACACGGTTTGCCTTTGAACTGCTATCTCACAGACACCCATGCTTTGAAAAGAAGAAGAAAAACAACAGCCCATGAAATTGCATGTCCCTAAACAGCCTCAGATTATATCAGCATCTGCGTCAGTTAGATAAAGAAAGAAAGAAAGAAAGAAAGAAAAAGAAAGAAAGAAAGAATGAACGAACGAACGAACGAACGAACGAACGAACGAACGAACTACTACTTCTTGTCTATCCTAGTTTCAGTTTATGGATATTAAACATGTCCTGACCTGCTGCTCTGGCTGCTTGGTTTCGTTTAATTCAGGTGAAAGTACGAGGCAAGAATGTGCTCTGACGGATTGACAGAGAGGACGAGAGATGCCTTCCTGGTTTCCTGTAGTTTCTTTCTTTAAATGACTCTCTGGGGCAGAGCGCAGCTTGGCTCAAATATCCACAGTCATTCCAAGATGGGTCAAAGCTTCCCAGTCAGCTGATTTGAATCTATTCAACATTAGTGCAAGTTTTCCCCAGGCTGCGAGTGGGCGATATAGGCAAGTCCAGCCTCACCGGCTGACTTCATTTGCTTGTGGTTTGACTTTGACTAATGTCCGTGTCAAGTGATAGAATCTAATCAGAAGCCTACAGGGCCCCTTCTGTTTGAGCCTTTTCAGAGCAAGAAACAAGCTCGAACACGATCGCAGTCAACTCCCACTGACGGCAACATATGCAGGCCATAACTGTAGAAAACAAACAGAAAAGACTGCATGTCCTGCTCGGACGGTGCTATGACAGCTCGTTATTAGTATTACTGGTTTAGATTAAAACCACTGTCAGTAGCTGTTGAGCTCCTGTCACGCCTCAACACACAAAATCAAACTCCACCGATGTGAAATTGAAAATTATCCCTCTAAACAACAACCCACATTCAGGAAGTCCAGACCTCCACCTCATTTCCTCAGCACAGTGAGGTGACCTTAAAGTCAGGAGGGCAGCCAGCAGGATTAGTGAACTTCCATCGCACATACGACTAATATGGTGCGTAAGACTGTGGGAATACCGCAATTACCCAACGCAAACATTCACAGACGGATCGGAAACTGCGTCTGGGCAGACTCTGGCGTCTGAATATGCAGACGAGGAGGAAATTAAACAACACACAAATTCAAATTTTCATCTGCTTTGCATTTCCTCTCGGTTAAGCTTTCGCTAACGTTCAATAAACACTCAGTGTAGATTACATTTTAGAGGACGACTAATGAAATCTCAAGGTCAGTGTGGGGTTTTTTTGTGTTAGGGAAGTAGGAGAAGGGACATGGGAGGAAACTTGGAGGCTCCCTACTCACCTATGAAGGGGATGGAGGCCAGAGAGTCATCCTCTAGTGGGAGGGGAGCAAGGTTTCCATTTGGTTTGCCTGAGGCTACATCTCCTGTGGAACCGGGAGCTGGGGCTGAGTCTTTGGGATCAGGAGAAAACAAAGAGGGTTCTAGCCCATCCAAAGGCAGGGCGTAGTGAGGGTGACGCATACCCTGGACATTCCTCCGCCCCGTGGGGGGTTTCTGCCTCATCACCACTTCCTGGGTCTGTGCCACCAATTCAGCCTGCCCTTCCACTGCCCCTCGTTCCCTCTCGTGGTTTGTTGGCCTGTACCCTCTGTCCTGGGATTCGGGCGTGGCCGAGGCAACTGGAGTTGTGGTGGAGGCAGTGGGAGGTGCTGGCGTCCCCTCTGGAGGGCTGGTTTTAGGTACTGGGTTCCAGTTTAAGTGGGGGCCAGAGTATGAAGGGTCCCTGAACGAATGAGCCTGCTGCAGGATGCGGCCTGTTTTGCGGTAAAAAGATGGGCTGTAGCTACGGTAGCCCACCGGCTGGTCGTCCACGCTCTGTCCAGGAGGAAGCCGCCTGCTCTGAGTGGGCGCCGGCTGTGGCTGGGTGTGGGTCTGTGGGTGGTGTTTAGAGGTTGGCTGTGACTGCCGGGACACTTGAGGAGCTTGCGCTGCGCTAAAATGGTTGCCCTGCCTGTGGTAAGCGTCAGTCCTCGGGGGAGGCTTGGGGGCCTGCTGGAGCCACGCGGGCCTGTCAATCCGAGGCGAGACCAGTCCAGCTGCTCCTCGGTCCAACATCTCTAACGAGCGACCATGGTGGTCGTAGAGGGCGAGCAAATTTTCAGAGCGTGTTCGAGTATAGTTAGTGACAGTGTGGTCTCCGTAGGACCAGTATGGCTCCCCTTGGGGTCCGGGTCCTGACTGCTGAAGTAAGAGCAGAGTGTCCTGGGAGGCGCTGTGTGGCCAGCCACCTGTACGCTGCTGCTGCCTCCTAGATTCACTGAGCCGGTCTTGAGAGTAGCTCCGATGGCGGGTCTGCATCTTGCGTACTGAGCGATCCGGCTGCTGGTTGTAGTACCAGTCGGAGAGGGCCTGCTGGCAGCGGTCACTGCGGCTGTGGCTGACCTGTGGCTGAGGGGGACTGGTCCAGGCTGAGCTGGACTTGCGTGGCTGAGCCTGTGAAGAACTGGCACCATGGTGGTTGGGGTAGTGAACTTGTAGCGGGCTGGACAAAGGGCCTCCGGAGGAGGAAGACGAAGAGTAGGAGCGTCCCCTAATCTGGCCCTGAGGCTGCTGGCTGGTCATACCGTACTGGATCTCCTCTGTGCGGTGGGCTGGACTGCTGTGACCCACACCACCGGGCTCGCCTGGCCGCCCCTCCTGCCAGCTGGCGGGGCTGCACACAGCAGATCGGTTGTCCAAGGGTGATGAGGGGCTGGAAGAACCTGGCCAGCGACTCCAGTTATCCAGCTGGTTCTGGCCCATGGGGGATGAGAGGGGAGCTCCAGAAACCGACGTCGTCTTGGAGCGTGGGTAACATAGGGGGGGTGGCGGCGGAAGGTTTTCAGCTCCCCCAGCGTACGGTTCATTACCCGTCAGGTAGGCATCCTGGGAGTACGCCTAGAGAAAGGAGGGAAGATGGAGGAACCGTGAGAACAGACGTGACAGGAAGAAATGGGAAATTACAAAGGTAGGTAGGTAGGTGTGTGTCTGTGTGCGCCTGTGTGTGTATGTGTGGAATGAGAAGTTTAAACAAAAATTGCCTCTTCCTGTAAACAAGTTTGACAACGGCACAGTGTCGTGCTGCTTTACACACAACAACAGCCTGAAAGGGGAAGCTTCTGAGTTATTGCCACAGTTTGTCCCCGAGGCCTCGGCTCTCCACACAAACACAAACTAGCTACCAAACTGGAAGAATTCCCCCGAGAAAAAGCCACAACACTCACCGCACTGCAGCTAGCTATAAATACAAAAGTATCCTCTAATGTTATCTAAACAAATACAAAACACACACACACTTTGCTGCTTTAGGAGAATCCAAATGTAAATAACTAGCTTTAAATTACCCGATCATTTCAGGAATCGGCCACACTGCCATATTTCAACCAAAAACACACCTACTTCCAGTTATTTTTAAACTCGCATGACAAAGACATTTTAAATCAGTTTGACACTTTTAAAGGTTTACCTAATGAAACGTTTAGGCTGTCCAACAGAATCCAGAGCCTTTCCACAGCTTGTGCGTTAAGACCGAAGCCACACAAGCAGAAAAAGAAGAGCTCACTAACACCGCGGATGCGACAGCTCTGCAGCTAAAACATTCTGCTCTTCATTTTGTACCGCGTCCTCGTCCTAAAACATCCAGACTTTAACTTCTTTTCTTTTCCTTTGTATTTGTGACTTTTCTATCTGCTCTATCGACTTGTTTCTGCCTCTCTCAGATCTTTCCAAACTCCCTCTCTCCTCCTCCTCATCTTACTCCACCCTGTGGGAGTGTGGAGGGAGGTGCGCGGGATTGGTGAGGTCATGCTAGGAATGCAGCAAATACAGGCGTAGCAGCGAGGGGAGGAGCGAGACAACAGAGGAGGGGGTTTATAATATTAAGACACGGCAGGACGCTTGGAAGGAGAGGGCAGTTTGGGGCATTTCTGGGAGGAACGGTGATGTTTCTGCATCTGTGAGAAAGACCAGTTAAATCAGCTCATCTGGTGTTTGTGTGTGTTGACGAGTTGCTCCAGGTTAATGGGAGGGGCATTTAACGATGCATGTTGGATCTTGTGGAAGAGCAACCTGTGGAGCGATAAAAATGTGTTTTACGGAACATGGGTGTGTGAGCGACAACCGAGTTTTTGGGTTGGTTTTTTTTTTTCCCCAAGCACAAACTTTGACAGATACCAGTGGTTTTAAATGATCATGTGTTGTAATCTAAACACAGAGCGAGTCACCCTGTGAGTCACTCTGCAGCCAGTCTAACAAAATCTTGAAATTCTTCAACAGTGACGCTGTGAATCATCTCTGCAGACTTCTGCAGTGTCCTAAAATAATGCATGTAATATGTGTGGGTTTATTTTGTGTGTGTGTATTTGAGGTGGGGGTGGGGGTGGGGTAAAATATGTGTGAAAAATCTCATACTCACACTTACCAACTGAAGCACATCTTCATCCTTTGGCATAATGGAGAGCTCCAACACGCTCTCACTGCAGGACACGTGCGACAAAAAGAGACAAGAGCAAGAATAAGACTTCCGAGGCAACATTTGTACCTGTGGATTGTTATAGCTAAAATAAAAATACAATAAAATCAAATACAAAAGAAACCTTAAAAAAACTCCAGCTATTCTTAAACAAATACCAGTTAGGAATGCACTGATTTGAGCAGAAGGATAATGAATCAGTTCCATCGGGTAATCTGAACTGAGGTATGTCACTTGATGTTTCATACCTTCCATTAAAACTCATAATATGCAGCAAAAGACTAACAAACTATGTGAAAGGCAGAAAGCCAATCAGAACAGTTGGTTGTTGGGATTTTTGAGTTAATGTTTTTTTTGCCCTTGTGTGAATTTTTAGCATTTAGACTGATGAAATTATGTTATTTTAAAAAACAAACACCTGTGGCCCAGTTAAACAAGTATATTTGTAAAGGTGAAGTCACGCACTCCCTCATACATTACATTTGGGCCATTAGATATGATTTGGATGCGTCGCATTGATCTGTCATGAGGTTATTCTCATATCTCAGGGTGAAACAAGCTATTCCTGTTGCTGCCTAGCTCGGCTTATAGCCAGATGGTAAACTGGCAAGCATGAAGATATACACGAGTCAGTGCACATATCTCCACTTTTTGTGTCACTCTCCTATGACTTCTCTCACAGGACAATAAATCAACACTTAAAAGGCTCTGAAGGGGCTCACAGGAAGGGATTCTTACCTGTTCTGAATGAGGGCGATCACCTGTGAGTACGTCTTTCCTAGAATACTTTCTCCATTCACTTTCACCAGACGATCCCCTGCACAGCATGGACAGATTGTCATATTATATCACTAATACATTTGAGAACAATGAATCAGTAAACTCTGACCTTTAAAGCAAGAGGAAATGATAAAGAAACTGGGTAAGGGGTAAATTCCCTGAAGGCAGACATCAAAATAATAATGACCCGGAGTGAAAAATAAGTAGTGAACTTTTTGAATAATTGACTCTGGGCTGTCTAAAGTCAGCAAAACCAAAACCACATTAAGCAAATCACCTGTATTGGGTGGCATCAAAAGCCAGCTTGAACTTAATCTCACACTTTTTCACTTCATGTGGTGTTCAATATGTCTTAAAGGCAAAAAAGTACATCAATAAAATTAAAATCGCTTTCAAGCATAAAGAACAATTATGTTTAGAACAGCTCAGCTTTTGTGAACCAAGGCCTTGAGGAAAGGCGTCCGATAACTACCTGCTCCAATTTTATATGCATTTGCGGTTACTTTATGCAAGCTGAAACACATACGCGGTGCTCGCAGGGCGTGTGTTTGCATACGTTTGAGGTAGCGTGAAACTCCGTGGATGCGTCAGTTTGCGTTAAATCAAGCTGGTGCTTTAACACCGAGTACTGGTTTGCTCTGCTGTCACAGAAATACACAAGAGGAAAACCTCACACACACTGAGCTCTCGTTCTGTAATAACTCTCGTCTCCTTTGTTTTTATTGTTAGTCAACTTCTCTCTGCATGCTCGTGCAGCGTCACGTGACCTGCACGCAGAACAGATTTCCAATGCAAATCGAGGCGTCCTCACTCCTGCACAACATGTTCCTTTTACCTGTGCACAGGCCTGCCTGATGGGCCGGACCCTTTTCTCTCACGTTCTTCACAAATATAGTGTCCATTGGCTCCAACTGACCTTTCTGAAACCCTGAATGACAACAAGAAAAGAGGGGATGCGCAAAGATCAGGACATAGACAGATTCAGTTAATGCACAAGGAAAGAAAAAGAAATCCACATGTGGGTATGAACGTTGTTACACATGAACATTTACCATTATATAATATTATATAATATTATTAATTATCCAAATATTGTAAACAATAGTCAAATAGTAAATAATAGTAAAATAACATAGATAAAATGCCATTCTGTATTGGAGGTGCACAGTACAACAATCCATTAGTTTACATTTTTTGCATGAACTCATTTGGGTAAATTCACATGCATATCTAAGCAGACATGACATTGATATACAGATGTGCTCTCTGATGTATTTGTTTTGCGATTACTTCATGAATATCACCTGGGAGTCCACGCCAGGCTGGTTGTTTGATAAGCGCTACACCCACAAATCTTTCAGAAGCGCCGAGTAAAGCTGCAGGCTCAAACAAATCTGTTCCCCTTCTGCTGCGCTACACCTACGAACGGTTACTGCTGACACTTTCTACCAGCGCCCATCAGATATTTGTTAAGGGTTTGTTTTTGACACGAGCGACGTGGCTCCACAGTGTAGTTGTTTACGCGTTCACCTCACGAGTGAAAACTCCCTCGTCAGGTGAATCCCGGGAGGAGGCACAAATGCCTCGTGGGTTGTGTTAGGAAGAGCATCTCCTGTTAAATTCTTCCAATTCACATATGCAGAGCTACCTTCTGTCCCAACCCCGAGTGAACCAGGTAGCTGCTGAAAGTAGCACTTTTTCAGACGAGTAAATACGTCCATGAGCATCTAACTCAGAGGTTGTCAGACTGTGGGTTGCAAAACTAAGGTAAATTTTTTTCAGGGAAAATAAATAAGAGTCTGCTTATACTACTGCATGTTTATTTATGTAAAATTTAATTTCTTATTGATATTTATTGATAAATATTCACACTTTTTTTCAGCATCTCAAGTCAAGAAAACTAGAAAAAGCTGGAGAACCAGAAGTCTAACTGCAGGTGGATTTTTAGATGTAGTACTGGATAGCGTCCTGTAGGTGGCGCATAAAGGCTGCAGAGCAGGCGAGACATGAGGGAAGTACAGTAGGGTCTTGCCTCAATTACATCATCATTATCCCTATCCCTGTAGTAAGCTTTAACTGGAGCACTAATAAAAGACTGAGAAGGCAAAAACTAGAGGCAGCTCACCCTTTCCGTTACCGTTCTCCTCATCCTGCAAACAGAAAGACAGAATTACACATATTAGAGCAAATTTAAAGCGTAAAATTCCTGTAAGAGACATTTATTGTTGTCCTAGTAATTACAAACACATTTGCTGAGACGGTCTTTGGCCGCGTTTAAGAAGTTCTAGATGAGAGAGATCTGATAGCGAGGGGTAAACTTTTCCACATGCACAGAAAGGTCGACATGTGATGCAACGCAAGCGCTGAGCTTTTAAAAAAAAAAAAAGGTTTTACTTTTGGAAATGTGGGGAAAGTTGCTACTTCAGACACTGTCACAAAATTGACCATATACAAAGATTTGCAGGACGGAAACTGGCTGTGCCACATGGAAAATTTTGCAACCAATAATAAAGTGCTTTTTTTTTTTCATGCCCATTCAGCATTCAACTTTTAGACAAAACTGAGGGGAAAAACAAAAGCTATCACTACTTTTCCAGGCAGGAATGCTACCAAGTGATGATTCGGGGTTTACATCATGTAGTAGAAAGGCCTCATACAGGGCCCTCATACTCCTGATTTAAACACAGACACTTCAGCAGCATACGGCTTCTAACTTTGGCCACAGGTCTCAACCCCAGGTGACCTTTTTCTGAACAGAAACCAAAATGTGGAAGGATGAGATCAACTGTTTACAGCTTTCCCTCACGTGTCGGTGACTTCACTGACAATTTATGCCAAACCTCCTGACACCGACCTGTTTGTTTTCATGAGCTCTTAATGTTGCAGATCCAGCACAGACACTGACTATCTGGTTTGACAATCTGCAGGTGCTCATGACATCACACACACAGCGAGTAAATAAAGGCGGGGACAGTGAGAAACGAGGTGGTGAGATCTGATAGCTGCAGGTTCTCTGATCACCTTCACACACACACACACACACGCACAGACACACACACACTAAGCTGAGTGGACAGTTTGTGGGCAGGGGCACGGTGGGCTGACTGCTGCCGGGCTTTATCCTGCGCTGAGTGGGCTCATTCCGGGCTCTGCAGACAATGGTGGAGGGTTTAGAGGCAGAGAAAGGATAGCTGCCGACCCCAGAATAGAACTCATAGCTGGGGACACTCACCACCCGGCCAGTCCTAATTTCACCACATCCGGAAGGAGATGGGAAGAGGTGGACACAAAAGTCTATGCTAGGGATTCTATACATCTGGAAAATTACTCATCCCTTAATTTATGCGGATGTCTGGCACTGGATTCAAAAGACTCTAAACCTACACAAAAATGCATCCGTATCCATCCTGTTGCTCACAAGGTACATCCCAGTTTTCAGTGATAATAAAACAGCAATTCTTCACTGTATCATCACACTAATAACGTGTTACTTTAATGTAATGTAACACACTTTTGGTCCAAAATTCAGTATTAAGATCAAAGTTACTGGACGGATAGTTATCTGGGGAGGTTCTCAGTCATCCAGGTCATGGAAGTCCGAGGAAAGCGACTGAACTTTGACCTCTCGATCCAAGAAACTTCTCCTTGATCAAATGGTTATGCAGGTACATAAACCCTTCCAAAAACAGTCTCCTCAGTTCCCAGTTCAACGGTGGCAAATATGTGCATTGCTTGGAATTTATTGCTCGTAAGGAAAGAAATGTGACAGCAATGTGCAAAATGTGCCGAGAAACACAAGGCTGGTAGCTAAAGACCACAGACCACCCAAATGTCTCCTCAGAATGAGTGAATTTTGACCAGGTAACAAAAGCAGAGTTGTTTTTCACATCTTCTACTACAGGCTTCGGGATATAATAAATAATAAAAGGAGCTAGCATCTAAAAATAGATCCAGTGTATGTCCTCCCTATCTGAATGAGTACTTTTGTTTATTTCAGCTTATATGTATGGCAATAGCATGACTGCTGTATGCTGTAACTCAGTAACAAGTAGTTTGACACTACACAGAGTAAATAAGCAAAGAAATTGAGTAACAAAGAAATCTGTGGTACTGTAGTTACTTCTTTTTTTAGTTCACTTCATTTCACATTAAATAAAATATTGATTTTTTTCCAAAGTGAATAAAAATCAAGTTACATCCTAATAAGAGGAAGTGTCAAGTGAAGACGCTGAAGGGTCCTGTTAGAACCACGACCCAGACGACCTGTGGACCTATAAATCGAGAGCATGAATGAGTCACAGACCCTGTGAATCTGTACTAATTGGACACTAAGAGGTTAATTTGGGAGGTTTCCATGAAGCCTCTTCAGATAAGAACAGAAAGATCTGTGAGTCTAATTGTCCAAAAAACAACATGTGATCCCTTCTGAGGCAGAGGAGACAAGGGCAGAAATGAGGCCAAAGGCCAGCAGTGGGCCCATTGTCCAGGGCTGGCATGGTACGGCCCGGCTGCCAGTGAGTGGTACCAGGATAAGACAACAGATCCCATTCAATTCGTGTTCCTATCAGCAGCTAGATGGTGGGGTGGTATAAAAATAATAGAGGCCTTGTTTCAGCTGGCTCACCCCACCCCAGCCTCCACATCCCTCAATTTCACATCTGGAGACGTTTGCCCCCACACCTCAAACAGCTAAATAACCACTCGGGCTCATTTCCCAACACCAGAACAAGCCTGAATTCACCAGGGACAAAAACAGGCCTGTGAAACAAACAGGAGTAAAATGAAGGTGTTTTTTTAAATTCCTCAAAGTAGTAAAATCGAAGCCCCGGTCCTTGTTCTGTGTCCAGATCTTGTGCCTCTCTTCCTCTAACAGCTCGGGTTCTTCGTCGTCTGCTGTCTCTAATCACCCAGGCTTGTTTTCTCCCTTTGTCTTTGTGTTCATTTTGCTCCGCTCAACCTCGCTGACCCGCAGCTACAGTATGATTGGCTTTATCTCTGAGCTCAAATTGGCTCTCTCCTGAGTTCAGCGAGTTAAAGCTAAGGCCTTCGAAACCCCTTTAAATGCCAGCTAGGATGAAATGGAGACCATGTGTACTATAAAAACAAACACAAAGTACTTTGTGACACTAAGCCCTGAAGCACAACTGGTATTTTTATAACATAATTCAACACTTTTAAACACCTTTAACATTTAAGGCATTTTCTAGTGTTTCAGGGACCTGCAGACATCTGTGACTCTCACCTTGAGGTTAGTGTGCAAAGCGGATTCTGGAGGATAAACGATGAAGTGGCGTAATGTGAAACCGAAACCCTGGGAGTTCTTATGGAGGACCAGCGTCCGGGGACCCTTCCAGCCCATGCCGACCCCCTCCCTTCCCGGCCGGGTCGCCATCGGCGGCCGAGGGTTGTCACCGGCTGAGGAGAAACCATCCCTCCGCCCCTTAGCCTGTAAACACAAAGAGATCTGGTTAAAAACATTACCCCCAGCAGGAAAAGCAATTTTATACAAAATGACTGCATTTTGTCATTTAGTAAGCTGGAATATTTGCTTCTAATAAGATTTACGGGCATCAGAAATGTCAGCAATATCAGTTCTTTCCCATTATTCGCACCAACACTCGAGAAAAACCTGCAGTTGTCCAGATTTATGGCTCACTGGAGAAGCACAAGGTGCCTCTGTACTCAGTGACATTAACTCCGCCGCTGCCGGACCGCTCATTAGCAGCTTCCTTGTGAAGTCCTGTCTGCTAGCCTCTGCATGCCACCCAGCCTCAGAACAATAGTCAATAAACACACCTGGGGGAGGGCAGGGGGGACTATCAGGAAGAGGCCATATCTAGACGGGGCCAAGCGGGAAATGCGGGTATCATCCAGTTCAGACTACAGTGACCTTGGTCTTATTCTAGGGAGAGAAGATCCAGGGACTCTGAGAGTGGAGAATAAAGGCAGATTTTCAGCACAGCTCTCTAAATTTCTCATTCCTGCTGCCGAGTAAATAAGTCCGGCAAGCTCAGCTGACAGACACACGTGAGAACTATCACCCGCCTGCTGCCCCATCGACCCACATCTGTCAGTCAAACACAATCACCTGACCAAACAGGCAGGAGTGGGAGCGAGGGAGAGAAGGAAGAAGGGAATCTGAGTGCCAGCTCACAGCTTAAGTCTGCTGCACACATCAAGTCACTGCAAAACTTTTCTTAGTAAAACTGAACTCCCTGCACTCTCACACTCTCCCAAACTTAAATTAAAACACTGTAATGACTAGTCCGACCAAGTCAGCCCGGTCTTTCAGTCACCGTGCCGTGCTTTATTTTGTTTAAAGCTGCAATCTTCTGCATACTGATGGTAAAAATAACTTCTTAGCATCTTACTGATGGATGCTACAGCATAAAAATGCAATGCACAGCAGACAGAAGTAACATTTTTAACAGTTTCAGAAAGACAGATTATAAACAGTCGGATCATTTTTCTTCTTAGTAAATGATCATTTAGACAAAAAAAGACATTGATTTGTTTTTCATTAACTAAAGATGAGGGCTGACACTGATACGAGCAAACCAGGAGCTGCAGGGGGATCTTAAATCACATTGCGCACATTTTTACGCCTACGCACTGTTTTGGTTAAATCAACGATGAGCTCAGGAGGACACCATATTAAATGATGACATTTTATCTAATCCTACTTGAAGATTAGATTAGATTAGACGAAGTAAATGATGACAGAGGTAAAGGTTGCCCAAATAAGTTCGTACACTGGTTAAATGCTAACGTCATACACTCTGAGAAAGGCTACAGGAGTCTATTAAAAGTAAATGTGATCCACCTCTCACCTACTAACTGTTACATTAATGCACAAAACTGTCAACGGATACAAACAAGTACCACCTGCTTGACCGCCTTCACATTCACCTGGATTTTGCACATTTACTAAGGCATGCGGCAACTGCTGCTGTGATTTGGCACAATATAAATGAAACTGAATTGAATATACATTTTTAATTTGTGCTATAAGCCTTTAAAACCCTGCAACAACAGAATTTTTACTCCCCACACCGAATCTTCAGCACATTTGAACTAATTTAATGCCTAACAAAAACATCTGTATACTGGATGTTTTACTTATCTTATGATGTTTTTTCCACAGGTTTTATTGATTTAATATGGGATGAACACCCCTGTCAAAGGTCACTGTACAGCCCCAAAGATACAATAAAGGGTAGGGCTGTTTGATATAACGATATATATCGGATGACGATATAAAAACACGCTATCGTTT